CCATGATGCTCATAAAACGCTTTATTAACATCCAATTCCATTCAGACTTGGTGTATTCTAATATTTCTATCAGCACAAGATCTGTTATGAAGGTTTTAGAGATCGGGCCATTCCTTCTGGTACCTCCACCACAAAGGGTCAAAGTTTTTAATAACCAAAAGGATTATAAAATCCGAAATAAGCATCAGGTTCTCTTCATATTTTGCACAATCCATTATTTCTACTAACTCAAGATCTTCTGTGAAGATGGGAATATCGGTCCACTCCTTCTGGTGCCTCCCCCACAAAGGGTCAATTTTTTTAATATCCATGAATCTCATAAAACGAGAAATTAATATCCGATTCCATTCAGACCTGGTACATCGCAATATTTTCATCAACACAAGATCTGTTATAACGATGGTAGAGTTCGGACCATTCCTTCTGGTACCTCCCCCACAAAGGATCAAAGTTTGAATAACCAAAACGATTGTAAAATCCGAAAAAAGCGTCCCGTTCTCTTCATTTTTCACACATCACATTATTTCTACTAACACAAGATCTGCTGATCGGGCCATTTCTTCTGGTAACTCCCCCGCATAGGGTTCAAAATTTTAACCAAACGATCAAAGAAAGCAATATAACTAATTTTTCACTTTAATGAGTTAAAGGTTTTTCCCTAAAGACGCTCTTTTTCATTAGAAAGACATCGCATTTTCCTTCATCTACACGAAACAACATCTAAATCGACCAATATCTGCTGTACAAATACCCAAACGGTGTCTGGCAACATTGCACAACAAACAAATACGCATTTTATTCCATCGGTCGTATCAAACATGATGGTGGTCGGACGGTCATGTACTACGCAGCTAAGACAGTTTTTAGTGCATGGTGGCGTTATCACACACATTCCGTTGTATAGTATTATTGCTTCATTCAAAAAAATCCGAATGAAAAAAAAAACATTGTCAAGCGTGTGAATGGAATTTTATGTTTTTTGGGGATTTTTGTTTTCGTTTTCTCTGTTTTTCTTTTGTTGTTTTTGTTCTTCATGTTAAGTAGAGAATAAAGAACCTAGAGAACTTGTATGTAGTTCACTTTTTTGCGTTACACACATATTTTTCGTTTTATTTTGTTTTTTGTTTGCCAAAGGAAGAATGTGGATTTTTTTTTGGATAGTCATTGTCCTTTCGTTTGAAATGAACATGTTTTCCTGTGAGATCTTGTTAGATAATATCCTGGCTTATGAGAAGAAAATCCAAAATAAAAAAAACTTATTTCCGTTTTGTAGAGGTAGCTAACTATTTGCTGTGAGAGGAAAGGGTAGGGTATAGAGGTAATAGAGTGTTAGACAATTTTGGTTAAATACGAAGTACTTATTTTATAACCGGAATGTAAAATAAGTATATATTCCCTTGGCCCCAAGATGTTTTATAGGTTTTCTATACATAAAATACTTTCTATCTTCTACACGAATTCTGCATAAAAATATCATATATAGAACTTCTATACATAGAATTCCTTCTTTAGGTCTTTCATACATAAAATACTTTAAATAGGTCAGATATACATAGAACATTTACTGATTGTCTAAGATTGGTATTTTACATAGGTCTTTAGGGCTTCTATAGGCATATAATATCTTCAATAGATCTTCTATATATGGAACGTACACTGCATACAAACGACCTTTTTATATTATTTTTATACCCTCCACCATAGTACGGAAGGTATATTAAGTTTGTCATTCCGTTTGTAACACCTCGAAATATACATTTTAGACCCCACAAAGTATATATATTCTTGATCAGCATAAAATTCTATGTCGATTTCGCTAGCGATGCCCGTCCGTCTATCCGTCTGTGGAAATCACTCTAGCTTCCGAACGAAGTAGATTGATAAAATTTTACTCAAATGTATGTTATGTCTGCAGGAATTCTGGTAATGAAAATGGGACATGTAGGTCCACGTTTTGGTATAGCCCCCATATACGGTACATCCCGATATTCGGTATTTTGATGATTTTAGCGACATTATTCACCGTAATTGTTTCAAATTTGTTATTTGATGTTCGTAATGGATACTACAGCCTATGGCAGAAAATTGTCTGTGCAGGTCCACGTCTTCGTAAGCCCCCATATAACGGTACCTCCCGATATTCGGATTTTATTCGAGTTTTTTTTTTGAGAATTGTCAAATTCGTTCCAAATGGTGGAGGGTATTGAAAGCTTTTTTATTTTTATAAAGAATACTCTCTATAGGCCTTTGGTACATTAGGTACGTATATAGCCCTTCTATACTGAGCACACCTTTTCACTTTTTTATGGATGCATATAGAATCTTTAAAATATTTTACATAAAGTCCATTTTACACATCATATTGGAGTCCAAGAGGACTACATAGATATTTTCTGAAAAGTTTACTAATTTTGTGTCGGTTGGAGACATACGTAAAGTGACTTAAGATGGGAATACATAGAAGGCTTTTCTGACTGGCTTATATTTAAAAAATATTTTAAAGCATACTTTTAAGCGCTCCCAAAAATGTTATAACTTTCCCAAATATTTGTAATGTATAGCGACTATAAAGTGTCCAAATTACGTTACACTGTGCAACACATAAAAATAATTGCAGTAAAAATCTAGTAGATTCTGAAAAAATTTTAAAGCATACTTTTAAGCGCTTCCAAAGATTTTTAGGCTTGAAAGAAATGCTATCCGATATAAACTATATACTATGCAAATTTCGTAATACTGTGCACGCGTAGCGCCGCTTTGAAAGTATACATCGCAAAGTAACCTAAATAAAAGGTCAAGTTCCCTTTTCCACAGTTTTTGGAAAATTTCGAATTAAGGTTCCTTGAAATTCACACATTTGAGGTATATAGTGTTATTGGCAACATTAACACTTGTATTGGCAACAATACAAGAAATATTTTCCTCGATAACTTAAAACCCTCAACGAAGCACCGAAGGACTTTTTTTGATCCTTTTTTTTCAAAATATATTTAATACTTTAGGTAAGATTTGAACTTTTCATGTATTCTGGAAACAATGGTAGAAGTTTATGAAAAAGAATAAGAATATTTTGAATGTTTTCGATCCCTTTTAAATGGGAGTTTTTAACCATATCTAAAAAAAGATGTAACAACTTAAAAATTATCAGTCGGTTACCGGCAGATGTATACCTTCCTTCAATGTTCGATTATTTTAATATATTTTGACTTGTGTTATTATTATTCAAATTGTTGACCCTCTTTGGAGTAGGTTGCAAAGGAATGGGCCAATAGTGTCCATTTCGTATCGGACCTAAATAAATAGGATATAAATATTGCAACGTATCGTACGTAAGTCGATATACGTGCAACGTATATAGACTATTTCCTTCACTTTATATGAGATATATGTCATTTTTTAAAATAGTTAAAATATTCCTGAGCTACCAGATATAGACGACCAAAGTATTCCATTTTCATACTTCATCAAATACAAATAAAAATATGGGTATGGGCAGAATTACAAGAAAATCGAATATTTATAACCAATTTAATGCGAAATCATAAAATCCATACTCTTCTCCGGTTTCTGGTTGAGAGAAATATTTATATATAGCAAGTTGTAAAGAATCGCTGACTTGTTTCGCAAGTTATGACAAAAAAGTTATGAAAAAAAAGTGAGATACCAGAAGGGGTACGCAGATATTATTATATTATTATATGTTAGGAAAAAAGTTTGTATGTATGAAATTTGAAGAGAGTTGTATGCTTATTTCCTTTTCCTAGAGGGTTTTTTTTTTTCAAAATCTTGAAGTCCAGAAAAAATGGCCCGATCTCTACCATCTTCATAAAAGGCCTTGTGTTGACGGAAATATTGAACCAAGTCTGAATGGAATCGGATGTTAATTTCTTGTTTTGTAAGCTTCATGGATATTCAATTTTTTTTTGCACTTTTTGGAGTAGGTACCAGAAAGAGTGGTCCGATAAATTCCATCTTCACACCAGACCTTGGGTTCATAAAAATATGGTGATGTGTGCAATTTAAAGACAATTAGTTCGATGGTCTTCCTTCTTAAATCACATTTATAAGAGTTATAATTATTCAAAATTTTTAACCTTTATATGGGGAGGTACTTGATGTAGTGGACTGATATTGCCATTTTCGCACTAATGCAAATATTAGTATTTGCAAATTTGGAGCAATATCGGATTATCCTTTCTCTTTTTGTGCAGTATTTTTTTTTAATTTCGATCTTTTTTGGGTTAGGTAGGAGTGGACCGATATTACCCATCTCCGAACTTGATCTAAATTGAACAATAATATTACGATGTACCAAGTTCGGATCAAATCGGATACTCCCTTCGAGAGCATTTTTGATGAGTACCTAAAAATATGCCATAAAAATGCTGAAGATAAATGTGAAAAAAGGCCACATCACATATGACTAACTTAATTTTAAACGGAGACCGAGAAAATTTTATATATGTCTTCCATATGGAGGACATCTTCCATGGGTTACCTATAGACGCCCTCTAGAAGCCCTCTCTGGGTCATTTTCTATACACAGAAAATTTCCAATAGATCAATTTGCTGTTCGTATTCTTTACGTGGAATATATTCTCTTTATCTTCTGTAAATATAAGAAAAGCCTGTAGCATGGCTTTTTGTGTTTATTAGTCACTCTACAGGTATACTATACTATGAGTCATCATGTTTTGAAAACAAAATGATCGGAAAATATATAATTCCTTCTATAGATGAAATATTTTCTACAGGCCTTTAACTGACAGAAGATATTGAATAGGCTTCTGGGAGGTAGAAGATCCTTAGTACGCCATCTCTTATCCTTTAGGAACAAATTAGACCTGTTGTAGGACTTATTTTTAAAGAAAATCTTTTCAAGCCTTTAAAGAGAAAAAATAGATGAAGTCCTTCTCATGAGCCATGTATATTCCTAGACACTTAAAATATCTGAATAGAAAAACTCGTCCTTAAAGCATTTCCAATTTTCAAATACTTACCCTCCGGTCGTAGCCTGGAACCACTCGTACTGGCTAGGGGATGGCTGGTATCCATTTGTGAGCTTTCATTTGGTGAATTTGAGGAATGCTCTAAATTTGGATCGTTCTGTTCCGGACTCTGCGGATTGTTGGATGTGTTATTGGCCATTTAATAGCTGTTTTACAATGTTATTCCGTATCAATGTGTTGATTACAATAATATCACTTTTTTCGATTTTTTATTGTTGTTTTTAAGAGTATCTTAATGACAACAATAAAACTTAAATGCGTTTTATTTTAATATTTATTTTGAATTTTTTTTTTGTTTTGTTTCGAAAATGAAATGTTTTCAATTTTGGGTCTGGTTTTATCTCGTTGTTATTGCTCTATTATGATTATTCGTTTCTTATTTTTTTCAATTTTTTCGAATTTCGTTTCGTTTCTTGCCGTCGCCGTCCGTTTTCTCTTCCTCTTCAGATGCACACAAATGTTACACGCACAACGCACACAGATACACTGATGTTTGCCTGCGTTTAACTATTTCTAAGAACCCCCGAAAAAATAAAATAATTCAATGGGAAACTATTTCCAAAAACTAGCTGACGCTGCTGACGTTGTTGTTGTTGTTGCTTACAGCGGTCTTAAGAGCAACAGCAACAACAACAACAAAAGCGACCGAAATCCCATGACAGCTCTGGCTTTACTACCACCGCCTAACAACAACAGCTGAAGTACACTACAACAATAAAAATATCAACATTTTATCAATACGCAGTTTACTCTAGTCCGTCCGTCCGTCTGTCCGGCTGCCTGCCTGGTTGTTTGTTCGCTCGTTCATCTATCCATACATCCATCCATCCAACCAACCAACCATTTGGCCGTGCGTCGTTAATTCGTTTGTCCGTCTATCAGTCTGCCTGTGCCTATCCCTCCGTATTCTTGCACACAGCACAACACTGATCCAAAGAACCCAAAATAAGAATCTACCAAAGACCATTCTCACCAGCAACAAGCAGGCATTAACCACCAAGAACTAATAACAACAACAAAATCATCCAGATCTCAACGTCTATGAAACACTCAAACAAGGCTTTCTTTTTTTGGTTTTGTCAGTCCCGCCAGTCTGTCAGCCATTCAGCTGGCTCTTCTCAGTCAGTCATTCATTCATTCATGCTACAAAAATTGTGATATGATACCGATTCTGTGCTAAGGTTGTTGCGCCGTCTTACTTCAATAACATCTATTCACCACTACAACCAACACCACCACCACCATAACACATCCATCGATCGCCATCATCATTACCACTTCTAAATCAAAAAATTTGTCTAGCTCTCAATGAAATATTTAGTTTCGGAAATGCTTGTTGGTGGTTTGATCAATGATTCTTGTCTGTTGCGCCATGGATTTTCTTTGTTTTCCAAGAAAATAAAAATGGGAATAGATTTATTGTTTACAGGGGGATTAGTCGAGACATCAACCAGGAGGCAAGATAGTGGAACTTGGTTAAAATTAATTTTAACAAGTAAAAAAGCTGTAAGTTCGGCCGGGCCGAACTTTTAATACCCTCCATCATTTGGTACAAATTTGGCAATTTCCAAAAAATAAAATCCGTTAAAAATTCTGTTAAAATCTTAAGAATACCGAGTTCTTATACGACGACGTGGCCCTGCATAGGCATATTTTGTCATAAGTTATTACAATAATTTAAATGTGAAACTTGAAGAAAAATCTGTTTATAATGTAGTTAAAATCATTAAAATACCGAATATGGGGGGGGGGGGGGTACCGTTATATGGGGGCTATTCGAAAACGTGGACCTGCACAAACAATTTTCTGGCATGGGCTGAAGTAGCCATTACGAACTTCACATGCGAAATTTGAAACAATCCCGATAAATAATGTCGCTAAAATCATCAAAATACCGAATATCGGGGGGTACGGTATATGGGGCTGTATGAAGATGTGGACCTGCACAGAAAATTTTCTGTCTTAGGCCGTAGTATCCATTACGAACTTCAAATACCAAACTTGGAACGATTTCGCTAAATAATGTCGCTTAAATTATCAAAATACCGAAAATCGGGGGGTACCCTTATATGGGGGCTATACGAAGACGTGCACCTACATGGCTCATTTTTTGATTTAGGTTTTAGTATCTATTACGAACTTCAAATACCAAATTTGAAACGATTCCGGTAAAGAATGTCGCTAAAATCATCAAAATACCGAATATCGGCGGGTACCGTTATATGAGGGCTAAACGAAGACGTGGACCTGCACAGATAATTTTCTGTCTTAGGCTGTAGTAGTCATTACGAACTTCAAATGCCAAATTTGAAACAATCCCGGTGAATAATGTCGCTAAAATCATCAAAATACTGAATATCGGGAGGTACAGTTATATGGGGGCTATATGATAACATGGACCTACATGGCCCATTTACGAACTTAACCTGCCTATTGGCAAAATATACATGTGTGCAAAATTTTAGCCTTCTATCTCAATTTGTTCGAAAGATAGCGTGATTACAACAGACAGACAGACAGACGGACATGGCTAAATCGTCTTAGAATTTTACGCTGATCAAGAATATATATAATTTGTTGGGACTGACATGAGTATTTCGAGGAGTTACAAACGGAATGACAAAATTAATATACCCTCCATAGTATGGTGGAGGGTATAAAAATTATGGATGAATAGAGTATCTGGGAGTACTCTGTACATAAATGATCATTAAAAATACCTATTTACGGTAAAAATCTACAGGGACGTTCTATTCACAGTGGTCGTAGATAGCCTTTTAAGGTTCTTCTTCGATGAAGAGTATCCTGTTCTCTAGATAGGTCTTCCATCTCCAACAGGTTTTCTGTGAATAGAGGACCTCCAGCGGGACTTCTGTAAATAGAGGACTACCTGCGTGTCGTCCTCAAATGGAAAACCTCTTGAAGGTATTCTATAGACGGAAAAACTCTAACAAGACTGTCATAGAAAAAATATCCCCTTAAGGTCTTCTATGTATAGAAAAAAGGAAGATCTACGTTTAATGGGAGAACGTGTTTAGATCATATAGGCCGTTTACACACCTCCCGGAATACAGTACCTCTATTGTTCTAATGATTTTAAAAGTACTGCAATGTGACACATACTTTTAAGGGGGAAGATTTTTATATCCTCCACCATTCTATGGAGGGTATATTAACTTTGTCATACCGTTTGTAACTCCTCGAAAAATTCATAATAGACCCTACAAAGTATATATATTCTGGATCAGCGTAAAATTCTAAGGCGATCTAGCGATGTCCGTCTGTCTGTCTATCCCTCTGTCTGTTGTAATAACGTTATCTTTCGATCGAATTGAGTTGGAAGGCTATAATTTTGCACACATGTGTATTTTGCCAGTAGGCAGGTTAAGTTCGCAAATGGGACATGTCGGTCCACGTTTTCGTATAGCCCTCATTTAACGGCAACTCCCAATATTCGGTATTTTGATGATTTTAGCGAAATTATTTAGCCGAGTTGTTTCAAATTTTTTATTTGTAGATCTCAATAGGTACTAAAACCAATGACAAAAAAATACGTATGCAGGCCCACGTCTTCATATAGCCCCTATATAAGTTACCACCTAATATTCGGTATTTTTATGATATCAGAGACATTGTAGACCGAAATTGCTTCAAAATTAGCATTTAAACTTTGGAATCGGTACAACAGCCAATGACAAAAAGAATGACTCAAGCAGGTCCTTGTCTTCGTGTATCCCCCATATACCGGTTTTCATTTAGCAGGTATTTTTCGACAATTTTTTTGAAGTTCCTTCCAAATGGTGGTACTTTTTTCCTTGTTACATTTCTCTTAAGCATTTTATGACATACTTTTAGGCGCTCCTCCGGTTTTTTTAAAATAAAATGTAAAAATGACATTAAGTCAAAGTCGGGCCAAATTTTTTATAACCTCTGCCATGTAATAGTTTGACTTATGGCCAAATTTGTTATCCTCAAGTTCCCTTTCCCATTTGGAAAATCCGTTATATCGGAACTATACATATTCTGAATAATTTACGAAAGGTGAAAATCTCCACACAAAGAATACGAAATACTTAATTACAGCAGGTTGGGTGGGCAACCTTCAAAATATCGAAAATCGGGGAGTACAGTAATGTGGGGACTATACCAAAAATGAGATATGGGTTTATTGGAATGGCGAAAAATTACTCACTATTAATTCGTCAATGTCAAATTTCAGCTGAATAGGTTGGAACTTGGGTACAAAACCATCAAAATGTCGAAAATCGGGAGGCACAATAATAGGGGACTTTACAAAAAAGATGACCTGCATTGAATTTTTTGCAAGACGAATCCGATTTGGGGTAAAATTTACGCCGAAAAACTTCGAAATCGAGATATACTATCATTTTGGGGCTATACCAAAGTAGAGGACGTACATTAATCTTTTTTAGCCTAGAACCCACTGAGAACCCCTAATTTAAAATTGAGCGAAACCTTCAAAATACGAAAAAAGCAGATATTATTATTTGGGGGCTATTACGAAACAAGGACCGATATACTGAACCATCCACATCTACTTCCATATCTAAAAGTTACACACTCCCAGTGCTTTTAATACCAAAATGCACAATTCCAGCTCTTTTCATGCACTTTATTCCAAATTTAGTACCGTTTAGTACATTTTGTACGAATTCTCAAATTCATCTTCTTTTCTAATCGTTACTCACTCCCAGTGATTCTAGTTCCAAAATGCACAATTCCGGATCTTTTCCTACACTATCTGTATTTCCAAAACAACGTCCAAATCTCAACTGTATCGCACAAAAAGTTGTCCTAATGTAAAATTTTAAGGGCTGCCCATTCCATAATTTGGAAATTTTATGCAAGTATTTGTTTTTTGCATTAAGACACATAACTTCAGGGTATAGATGGCTCGAATTGGTCCTAGTTCAACACATCGAATATTTTTTCAAAACTTTGATTTTGTTTCGGAACCACTTTTTACGATACATTCACTAGTTCCTCCCCCACATAAAGATTAGAAGGGAATAAATCCACCCCTACACCATTGGGTGAGCAAATGTCCCCGATGCATTTGTTATCCCACAACCAAATGCCAACATTTGGTTACGCTTACCACAAATAACTTAAAAATAGAATAAAAGCAATTTTTTTTCTCCCAAAATTTTCTTTTATATTTTCATCCATAGGGTGGTGGTGGATTAGTAGGGGTGTCACTGCACCAAAAAGAAAAACAATAACAACGAATGCAAAAATCCAGCTGTCTGTCAATTTCCCAAATTCAGCTTTGCATTTCCATTTAACGCATTGATTACAGTTTAAAATGTGATTGGGGCGTATTTTCTCTCTGTCATTTCACTTTCGAAGTAAATGTCGTCTATTTGACATCTCTTTTATTCAAATTGACAGAAGGGCAAAGGACGTTCGTAGAAACATGTGTTTATACATATACTTTGGGTTAATTATGTCCACCTAAAAATAGGCAACAAAATATAGAGATCGGAAAATTGGGGAACTAT